GTGCCTTCCAACCTCAGGGGTTCATATTCTGGCACTATGTCTGGCAGTGTTCCACTGCTATTCATGAGGTTTTCAGTGACTAACCATTCAGAAGTGGTCTGCCTCTCCTTCTATATAGTCTGTCTTAATCTGGAAGCTCTTCTGAAACCTGTCCACTGTGGGTGACCCTGCCGGCATTTAAAATACTGGTGGCATAGCTTCCAGCATCACAATATACAACCTGACAAACTGATAAACAATCTGACAGACAGGTGGTGGTGTTCAATATTGTGCACACTCAACTTTATCTTATTGAACTAAAACATTTCATAAAACTAAATTTCAATCACTATATTAAATTTCATCAGAAAGAGAACCAAAATCATATGGTAAGTCTTAATTCATTACTCCTTATAATATATTGTATAGAATCATGTCAAAAAAAAAAAAGAATATAAACATACCTTGTAAGTATAAATAATGTTACCATTTCTTTCAACATTTAGTACACGTAAGCTGTCATAAGTATTTTCTAAATCACCTGAAATGGTAAGATAATAATAGTAAGTTAATACTTAATAGGAGACGATTAAAAGCATATATAACAAGAATTTTATCAGCAAAAGATACCAAGTACTTAAGAATACTTACTGATGGTTCCACTATATGGTGTTTTAAAAAGGCAAAGCTATGTAGCATTAGGAATCAAAATAGTTGGCCTTTGGAGAAGAGGAAAGGAATTGTAATTGGGAGAGATCACAAGAGGGTCTTCTGAGGAGCTGATAAATGTTGTATATCTTGGGTATACTGCTATGTTCACTTTCCAATAACTCACTGAACTATGTACTCCTGATCTGTTGACTTTTCTGTGTGTATGTGGTATGTCAATAAATTTTAAGTATCTATCAATTTTTCCTTTATATATATTTTAACTATGTTTAAGGTGCATACAAATTTAGAATTTTATGAGGGGGATTTTAAAAGTTTTTGAAAAATGGAATTAAAAAATAATTCATTATAAAATATTCTTTTTTTTTACCTCTTATACTTCTTTTGTTTTAAAGTCTACTTTGTCTGATATTACTACATCAGCTTCTTGTTGTTCGTGCTACCTGGTATAACTTTGCCATCCTTTATTATTGATCATTTGATGTCCTTGGGAAATATGACCTTGATGATAAAAACAACTGGAGATCACATTATAAAATTTTGCAAGACCAACACTTATAAATTGAAATTACCTTTTTCAAAAATGTAAACAGTGACTATTCAAGTAGAATACACAGGAATCAAAAACAACTACATCTATGGAAATAGATGATGGAGAAGTTCAATATCAGTCAGAACAAGGTCATGGACAAGCTGCAGAACAGACCATAAATTGCTCATATGCAAGTTCAAGTTGAAGCTAAGAAAATTAAAATAAATTCATGAAAATCAAATTACAACCTGGAGTATATTGTACCTGGATTTAAAAATCATCTCAGAATAGATTTGATACATTGAACACTAATGGCCAAAGACCAGGTATGTTGTGGGGTGACATCAAGGACATCACATGTGAAGAAAGCAAAAGGTCATTAAAATGACAGGAAAGAAAGAAAAGACCAAAATGCATGTCAGTAGAGACTTTAAACATCTCCTTGAACATAGAAACACAGAGAAGCTAAAACAAATGGAAGAAATGATGAAGTATAAGAACTGAACAAAAGATTCCAAAAGACAGCTCAAGAAGGCAAAGTAAAGTATTTAATGAAATGTGCATTAAATTCAGTATGGATTACACTTCAAGATCTTAAGTTAGAACACCAAATGAGAAGAACATGTTGGCAGCTGAAAGAACTAAAGAACAAATTCAAACATTGAGTTGCAATACTAAATGTTGTATGAGCAAAACATTGAACAGTGCAGGAACATTAAAAGAAGATGAAAGAAATACACAGATATACCGTCACAGTGCCAAAAAGAAATGATCGATGTTTACCATTTCAGGAAGTAGCATATGATCAAGAATGATGATACTAAAGGAAGAAGTCCTAGCTGTACTAAAGGCATTGGAAAAACAAAACAAAACACAAGGCTCTAGGAATTGATGTAAGCCCAATTGAGATATTTCAACAAATGAAGATAATAAGTGGAAGCACTCACTCATCTGTACCAAGAAATCGGGAAGACAGCTACTTGGCCAACCAACTGGTTCTTGTTACATTGTTGCTAAGTGCTGTTGAGTCAGTTCCGACCCACGGCGACCCTGTATAGGGTTTCCAAGGAGTGGATGGTGAGCTTGAACTGCCGACCTTGCAGTTCAAACCAACTGGTAGAGATCCATATTTGCGCTCATACCAAAGAAAAAAGATACAACACAATGTGGAAGTTATCAAGCAATCTCATTAAAATAACATACAGGTAAATTTTTCTTAAGATAATTTAAAAATTGTTGCAGTTGAACATCAACTGGGGACTTCCAGAAATTAAAGTTGGATTCAGCAGAGGACATGGATAGAGGGATATCATTGCTGATATTAGATAGAGCTTGGCCAAAAGCAGAGACTATCAGCATGCTTTATTGACTATCCAAGTGCATGCAACCATTTGAATCATAACAAACTATGGCTAACATTGTGATGAACGTGTATTCCAGAAAACTTCATTGTGCTTATGTAAACCCTGCGTATAGACCAACAAGCAGTTGTCTAACAGAACACGGAACAACTATATAGTTAAAATTAGGAAAGGTGTGTGTCTCAGTTGGATTATCTCACTATACTTATTCAATCTGCATGCTGAGCAAATAATCCAAGAAGTTGGATTATATGAAGAAGAACATAATATTAGGATAAGAAGAACTCTCATTAGCAACTTGCAATTTGAAATGACACAACCTTGCTGGCTGAAAGCAAAGACTTGAAAGTTACTGATGAAGATCAAAGAATACAGCCTTCAGTATGGATTACACTTCAATGTAAAAAACAAAACAAAACAAAAACTTCTCAACATATGGACAATATAATGATAAATGGAGAAAAGACTGAAGTTGTCAAGGATTTTGTTTTACTTGAGTCCATAATCAATATCCAGAGAAGCAGCAGTCGAGAAAGCAAATGATGAATTGGGCAATTTGCTGCAAAAGCAGCTTTTAAAGTGTTAAAACTAAGATGCCATTGACCCAAGCCATGGTATTTTCAATTGCCTTCTATGCATGCAAAAGCTGGATAATGAATAAGGAAACCTGCAGAAGAATTGATGCCTCTGAATAAGGGACTGGGTGAAGAATACTGACTACACCATAGACTGCCAGAACAAACAAATCTGTCTAGGAAGAAGTAGAGCCAGACTGCTCCTTAGAAGCAAGAATAGTGACACTTTGTCTCATGTACCTTGGGCATGTTAGCAAGAGGCACCAGTCCTTGGAGAAGGACATCTTGCTAGATAAAGCAGAAGGTCAGGAAGAAAAGAGGAAGGTCCTCGACAAGATGGATTGACACATTGACAACAACGAGGGGCTCAAGCACAGAAACAATTGTGAGGATGACACAGGAGTGGGCCGTATTTTGTTCTGTTGTTCACAGGGCACTGTGACTAGGAACCAACTTGGCATGCTCTAACAACACATATGAGGGTAAGTCAAAAAAGTATGGCCACAAAATCATAGAAACCTTTATTAAACAAAACAATCAAATTGTGAAGCTGTTGTTTCTGGACATATCCTCTATTTGGTCAATACACTTCTAAAGACCGTGTTTCCATCTTTGTAACCCTTTCCCAAAGAATTCTACTCTCTTCTATTTACACCACATCAAAGCAGCAGCAATGGCATCCTCAAAGGACTCAAATCATGATTCCTTTGAAATGTTTCTTTGAGTTTGGGGAATAAAAAGAAGTCTGAAGTGACAAGCTTAGAGCTCAGGTGGAGGGAGTAAGGTTTTCCAATGTAATTCTCATAGGACAGCCCTTGCTATCCTCTTAAAAATGAGCTGATATATTGTTGTGATGGGAGGAAGAATCCTGGGTGCAACATAGTTTTCAATTTTCTTAAAATTTCTTCCTAATAAGCCCCTGTGGTCATTCTTGTGTCCTTTTAGAAAATCTATCAAGATTACCCCTTTGGAATGTTAAAAAAAAAAAAGTCACCATAACCTTCTAACCTGACATCTTTGATTTGAATTAAACTGACCCCAGCAGATCTCCTTGGCAGCTACTGTTTTGGTTGGACCTTAGTTAAAAGTTTGGTCGGAAAGATCAGCTCTGTGAGCTACCTGATCTTCGTGCAATGCTTTTGGCACTCATCAAGCCGAAATGTGCTGAGGCCTAGATGTTCATTTAAAATTGAAAAAGGGAGCTCCCAACTGCAGTAGCTACCACATCAATGGTGATTCTATAGTCTTTTTCCACTAGCTTCAGCCCATCATTCATTCATCAAGGTTAATGGTCTTCCCTCTCTTGGCTCATCTTTGAGGTCTTTCTAACCTTTCTTAAAATGCTTCGTCCATCTAGGAACTGTATGCTTGAGCAGCATTCCAGAAAGCTTGTAATCACTGAAACTTTGCAACAAGATTTTGGGCAATGATTTCAGAAGTTGTTGACTTGAGTTTTATTAAAAATTGTATATTAATCCTGATCTCAAATCATTTTTTTCCGTATCGCCTTTGTTTTTGAAAGCACCCTAACCAGACTAAGACAAGTGTATTGCTAAGAGAACTTGTCTGCAGGCATCCACTGATCACAAAGACTGTTTAAACATGCTTTACGGCTCTGTGGGTTAATGCACTGGACTGCAGTCAGTTTTAACCTCAAGGTCAATAGTTCAAGCTCACCAGTTGCTCCTCAGAATTCCTATGCAGGGTCACTATGGGTCAAAACCAACTCAAAAACACTTAACAACACAATTTGTAATGAATATGTGTATGAAATGGAACCTCAGTAACAATACTTTTTTACTTACTCTCTTATAATAAAATCAAAAGATGCATTCAAGAATGTTTATTGTACTTCAGTTCATAACATCCAAACTGGAAACACAAAACATCCTCAAGAGAAGAATGGATAAATTCTGATATATTCAAACAATGGAACACTAAACAACAGTAAGAAAGGGTGAGTATGTTATAACACAACATAAATAACTGAACAAAGGAGCACAGATCCTCTGCCCCACAAAAGCACAAGCGCTGATTCCATTTATATACTCAGTTTGAAAACAGGCAAAGTATCAGAAACTATCAGAAGGGAGCATGAAGGGACCTCTGTTAATAGTCTGTTTCTTCTTCAGTGCTAGCTACATGAGTGTATTCACTTTTTAAAAATTAACTGAGCTATAACTTAAGATTTGTGTATTTTTCTGTATACAGGACATATTCTAATGAAAAAGGTAAATATTCTTTATATAAAACATTTAACTTATAAATTACCTGATAACCATCTTTCTTCAAAGATTTTAGGATATTTCCCCCAATTCTGTCAAAAGATCTAAACAGTCATAAATATGACACAAATAATTATCATCATTATTTAAGAAAAAATATTTCTCTAATTTCCTAAAAAATTATCCAAAATCAAATGTCTTAAGCTTCTAACTCATTTTTCCTGTAAACAAGTGTATTTTTAGATTTCAAAGATATTATTACATTATGACAAATTCTAATACTCAGACATAACAGCTATAAAATTTCAGTTTGTGTTATTGATTTTAAATATTTTTTTAAGATATAAAGAAGAGTCATTGGTGGCCTATTAATAGCAAAGTTGGTGGTTCAAAGCCACAGGTCACTCACTCCTCAGGAAAAAGATGAGGCCGTCTTCTCCTTTAAATATTTACAGGCTCAGATGGGATCTACCTGTCCTATATAGGGTCGCTATGAGTTGGAATAGACTCGATGGCGGTGGATTATTTGGTTTTTGTTTGGATTCTGCATTGGAACTGGGGCTAGGAAACATTTAGAGAGGAAAAGCAAGCAGGTTTCATTGGGAGCTTAGAGCTATCATTCTGGGATCTCTCTTCCTCCCAACCCCTCACAGGAAGTAGCTGTGTGGGCTTTCTGGGAGGACAAGAGAAGTGTTTATCATACATGAGTATATACATTTTTGCCATGTTCTGAGCTGTCAGATGAACTTTCCACTGACAAGATTTAAGAAAGGGCAGGACAATAAATTATCCTCTTAGGAAACTAATATAATTCAAAGAATTGCCTTAGTGCTAAATGTTTTTGTTGCCTAGTCACTGTTAACTCATGGTGACCCCACGTGTGCAGAGCAGAACTGCCCCCCAAGTTGTTCAAGGCTGCGCCCTTTCAGGAGACTGGCAGGCCTATCTTCCAAGGAGTCTCTGGATGGGTTTGAACTATCAGCCTTCCAGTTAGTAGTCAAACACTTGACCATTTATGTCTACCAGGGATTCCTGTAGTATGAAACAGAACTTCACAATTCAGAGTTCTTATTTTTAACTCATCCATACTATGTGTAAAATGTTATACCCCATTGTACTGATGAAGCAATTGAATTCAATGAGGTTAAGATCCTTAGCTAACAAAAGTAGTACAAACTGATGTCAAACAAAGAAAACAGATAAACATAACATTGAGCTAAGCTTCCTGTATCAAGCTTACAAAGGAAAGGGAATACGTAAAAATCCTTTTAAGGCAGACTTTGAAGACATCTAAAAGGAATCCCAGTTAGTTTCCTTTCATTCTGCACATGACTCTGACAACTTCTGGAATGCAATGGGTCAATATCTTGAGAAGTATTTCTTTTCTCTCAAGATTATAAGGATTCTAGGAGAGACTGCAAAAGAACACTTGACTTGTTTCAGTTAGATAAGAAACTCCTTCATATGAAATCTTGCTAAGAAAATCCAATTCCTTGCAAAAGCTTATTTTCAAATAATGAAAAGATTATGGAAAACGAAATTCTCCAACAAATATGCAGATTACAACAAACGAGATATACTCATTCCATTAAGCCAGTGGGTCTCAACTCTGAGTTAGTATCATCATAGGAACTTTAAAAAGAACACAAATGCCCAAACCCTACCGAAAATATTCTACTTTTGGGGAGGCTGATATGGGTTGTGTGTGTGTGTTTCAGCTTCCCAGGTTATTCTAATATGCAGCGAGTGTTGAGAACCAGTGAATTACATATTTATACTATGGTGGTGGTGGTGGAGGTTATGTACTGTGGAGTCAGTTCTGACTCACAGCGACCCTGTATAGAGTTACCAAGGCTGTAAATCTTTCTGGGAGCAGAAAGCCTCATCTTTCTCCCATGGAGAAGCTGGTAGATTTGAACTGCTGAACTTGCAGTTAACAGTCCACCTTGTAACCCACAACTCTACCAGAGCTCTTTATTTATACTACAGATGAAGCAATTTTCATCCAGAAGCAAAACTAAGACCAACTTACAATGTAACTGTGGTAAAGTTAAGAGAAATAATAAAAATAATGCTTTGTGTCACAGGCCATTGGAATGACTCCACAATACTCCACAAAGACAATGCTCTGCGTCTTACTCTTGGTGAGTAGCGAATGGGATTTTAAAAGCTCATGAGTGTAGCAATGAAATGATATACGATAGGATGAATGTAAAACTAATGTCCTCCCATGTAAACTATCACATAATTCATAATTAAAACATTAAAAAAAAAAAAGCTCATTAGCAGCCACGCAACTGTTGGTCTCTCCCTGTCCAGAGGGAAGAAGAAGGATGAAAACTGAAGATGCTTGGGAACAATTAGTTCAGTAGACTAAGGGACGACCACATAAACATCAGTCTTTATGACCCTGAGACCAGAACTAGATGGTGCCAGGCTACCACTGGCCCACTGCTCTGAAAAGGATATTAGAAAGTCCTGGATAGACTAGGAGAAAATGTGGAACAAAACTCAAAAGCATAAAAATGGATCAGGCTTGTTGGTTGGATGGAGGCTGGTGGAACCCCAAGACTATGACCCTTGGTCACCTTCAGGAACTGAGCTCACCCCCCATGGCTCAATTTTCAGCTAAGGAAAATACAGTTTTACAGGGAGACAACAACACTAGTGAGGTTCACACACCATAGAATGGTCAACCATTTGAGATCAAAAGAGCAGCATTTACCCAAGGGCAGTGTTTAAAAGAGTGGGGAAAGGAGGAGAAATGGAAACACAAAACACAGAGAGGAAGTGGGATACACAATGTTACACAGAGGGGATTGCAATCATTGAGATGAAATGAAGTGTATTATTTGTTGAATGCAAAGCTGATGATCTTCACTTGGTTCACAATAAAAGTTAAATAAATAAATAATGTCTTATGGGCATTTTTTATAATAATAACTGCAGACTTCAATTAATTCTGCAGTTAAGTACACGATTGCCATTTCAAGGAGGTTTGTTAGACAAATTTGGAAATACTGGAAATTCAGAGCTATGTCTCACCACACACCATTATCCCAACAGCCCTTCCCCCTGATTAGTTGTTCATGCTTTAGACACACCCTTTTAGAAGAAGCAGTCAGTAGACTGCTTATTCATTCTGACTCTCCTCCCACTAGATCATCACTGGAAAGTCCAAAGGAGGAAGTTTAGCAATTTCAAATAAGGAAATGAAGTTTAATTATTACAGTTCAGTGTACTCAGGATTCAGGAACAAATGTTGCATTTAATAAATAACATATTTACATAAGTAAATCTACTAAAGAAAGGGCAGTACATAGATATTAAGAGAGTTAGCAAGCCATACCTCATGTAACACAGAACCTGGTTGACCAGATAGTCTCCTCCATTTCAACCTAAATTTTTGCCAAGCAAAAGGGATTTTATTTCACTGGAAGATGCTTGCCAAAATCATAAACTTTGTTCCTAATTGCTACGAGACAAAAATCAAATAAAAATATTTCTTGTCTTTCCAAGATCATTGCTTTCTTGTTGTTAAGTGCCATTGAGTTGGGTCCAACTCATAGCAACCCTGTATAGGGTTTCCAAGGAATAGCTGGTGAGCTTGAACCGCTGACCTTATGGTTCAAACTGACCTTGCAGTCTAGTGGACTAACCCACAGCACCACACCAGGAGTCCTGGGGGGAGAGGTTGCACAATCTTATACAAAATCATGCACTAGTTCGCAATACATAATCCAAGAAGCAATAATATATGATTATACTAACAGAATTTGTATTCTGTAAATAATTTACATGTTAAGTCCTCAGATGCAACATGACCAGATACCATTCCTAAACCTATCAAGTAAACATCATTACTTGACTTATATTTCATATTTTGGAACAAAATGAGAAAAATGCAAGGATGGGGTGACTGGTT